AGGGCCGAAACGTTGTGATAAATATGGCAACAAAGATGAGGACAATAGTCCGAATAATGTAAATAGTGTACATAATACTTCATCTCAGAAATATAGACAGATACTGAAAGGCCGAAACGTTGTGATAAATATGGCGACAAAGATGAGGACAATAGTCCGAATAATGTAAATAGTGTACATAATACTTCATCTCAGAAATATAGACAATACTGAAAGGCCGAAACGTTGTGATAAATATGGCGACAAAGATGAGGACAATAGTCCGAATAATGTAAATAGTGTACATAATACCTCATCTCAGAAATATAGACAGATACTGAAAGGCCGAAACGTTGTGATAAATATGGCGACAAAGATGAGGACAATAGTCCGAATAATGTAAATAGTGTACATAATACCTCATCTCAGAAATATAGACAGATACTGAAGGGCAAAACGTTGTGATAAATATGGCGACAAAGATGAGGACAATAGTCCGAACAATGTAAATAGTCTACATAATACATCATCTCAAAAATATAGACAGATACTGAAAGGCCGAAACGTTGTGATAAATATGGCGACAAAGATGGACAATAGTCCGAATAATGTAAATAGTGTATATAATACCTCATCTCAGAAATATAGACAAATACTGAAAGGCCGAAACGTTGTGATAAATATGGCGACAAAGATGAGGACAATAGTCGAATAATGTAAATAGTGTACATAATACCTCATCTCAGAAATATAGACAGATACTGAAAGGCCGAAACGTTGTGATAAATATGGCGACAAAGATGAGGACAATAGTCCGAATAATGTAAATAGTGTACATAATACCTCATCTCAGAAATATAGACAGATACTGAAGGGCGAAACGTTGTGATAAATATGGCGACAAAGATGAGGACAATAGTCCGAATAATGTAAATAGTGTACATAATACCTCATCTCAAAAATATAGACAGATACTGAAAGGCCGAAACTTTGTGATAAATATGGCGACAAAGATGAGGACAATAGTCCGAATAATGTAAATAGTGTACATAATACCTCATCTCAGAAATATAGACAGATACTGAAAGGCCGAAACGTTGTGATAAATATGGCGACAAAGATGAGGACAATAGTCCGAATAATGTAAATAGTGTACATAATACCTCATCTCAGAAATATAGACAGATACTGAAGGGCCGAAACGTTGTGATAAATATGGCGACAAAGATGAGGACAATAGTCCGAATAATGTAAATAGTGTACATAATACCTGATCTCAGAAATATAATCAGATACTGAAAGGCCGAAACGTTGTGATAAATATGGCGACAAAGATGAAGACAATAGTCCGAATAATGTAAATAGTGTAGATAATACCTCATCTCAGAAATATAGACAGATTCTGAAAGGCCGAAACGTTGTGATAAATATGGCGACAAAGATGAGGACAATAGTCCGAATAATGTAAATAGTGTACATAATACCTCATCTCAGAAATATAGACAGGTACTGAAGGGCCGAAACGTTGTAATAAATATGGCGACAAAGATGAGGACAATAGTCCGAATAATGTAAATAGTGTACATAATACCTCATCTCAGAAATATAGACAGATTCTGAAAGGCTGAAACGTTGTGAAAAATATGGCGACAAAGATGAGGAGAATAGTCCGAATAATGTAAATAGTGTACATAATACCTCATCTCAGAAATATAGACAGGTACTGAAGGGCCGAAACGTTGTAATAAATATGGCGACAAAGATGAAGACAATAGTCCGAATAATGTAAATAGTGTACATAATACCTCATTTCAAAAATATAGACAGATACTGAAAGGCCGATTTATAGTGATAAATATGGCGACAAAGATGAGGACAATAGTCTGAATAATGTAAATAGTGTACATAATACATCATCTCAAAAATATAGACAGATACTGAAAGGCCGAAACTTTTGTGATAAATATGGCGACAAAGATGAGGACAATAGTCTGAATAATGTAAATAGTGTACATAATACCTCATCTCAGAAATATAGACAGATACTGAAAGGCCGAAACGTTGTGATAAATATGGCGACAAAGATGAGGACAATAGTCCGAATAATGTAAATAGTGTACATAATACCTCATCTCAGAAATATAGACAGATACTGAAGGGCCGAAACGTTGTGATAAATATGGCGACAAAGATGAGGACAATAGTCCGAATAATGTAAATAGTGTACATAATACCTCATCTCAGAAATATAGACAGATACTGAAAGGCCGAAACGTTGTGATAAATATGGCGACAAAGATGAGGACAATAGTCTGAATAATGTAAATAGTGTACATAATACCTCATCTCAGAAATATAGACAGATACTGAAGGGCCGAAACGTTGTGATAAATATGGCGACAAAGATGAGGACAATAGTCCGAATAATGTAAATAGTGTACATAATACCTCATCTCAGAAATATAGACAGATACTGAAAGGCCGAAAAGTTGTGATAAATATGGCGACAAAGATGAGGACAATAGTCCGAATAATGTAAATAGTGTACATAATACCTCATCTCAGAAATATAGACAGATACTGAAGGGCCGAAACGTTGTGATAAATATGGCGACAAAGATGAGGACAATAGTCCGAATAATGTAAATAGTGTACATAATACTTCATCTCAGAAATATAGACAGATACTGAAAGGCCGAAACGTTGTAAGAAATATGGCGACAAAGATGAAGACAATAGTCCGAATAATGTAAATAGTGTAGATAATACCTCATCTCAGAAATATAGACAGATACTGAAGAGCCGATTTATAGTGATAAATATGGCAACAAAGATGAGGACAATAGTCCGAATAATGTAAATAGTCTACATAATACATCATCTCAGAAATATAGACAGATACTGAAGGGCCGAAACGTTGTGATAAATATGGCGACAAAGATGAGGACAATAGTCCGAATAATGTAAATAGTGTACATAATACCTCATCTCAGAAATATAGACAGATACTGAAAGGCCGAAACGTTGTGATAAATATGGCGACAAAGATGAGGACAATAGTCTGAATAATGTAAATAGTGTAGATAATGCCTCATTTCAGAAATATAGACAGATACTGAAGGGCCGAAACGTTGTGATAAATATGGCGACAAAGATGAGGACAATAGTCCGAATAATGTAAATAGTCTACATAATACATCATCTCAAAAATATAGACAGATACTGAAAGGCCGAAACTTTGTGATAAATATGGCGACAAAGATGAGGACAATAGTCCGAATAATGTAAATAGTGTACATAATACCTCATCTCAGAAATATAGACAGATACTGAAAGGCCGAAACGTTGTGATAAATATGGCGACAATGATGAGGACAATAGTCCGAATAATGTAAATAGTGTACATAATACCTCATCTCAGAAATATAGACAGATACTGAAGGGCCGAAACGTTGTGATAAATATGGCGACAAAGATGAGGGACAATAGTCCGAATAATGTAAATAGTGTAGATAATACCCTCATCTCAGAAATATAGACAGATACTGAAAGGCCGAAACGTAGTGATAAATATGGCAACAAAGATGGGGACAATAGTCCGAATAATGTAAATAGTGTACATAATACCTCATCTCAAAAATATAGACAGATACTGAAGGGCCGAAACGTTGTGATAAATATGGCGACAAAGATGAGGACAATAGTCCGAATAATGTAAATAGTGTACATAATACTTCATCTCAGAAATATAGACAGATACTGAAAGGCCGAAACGTTGTGATAAATATGGCGACAAAGATGAAGACAATAGTCCGAATAATGTAAATAGTGTAGATAATACCTCATCTCAGAAATATAGACAGATACTGAAGAGCCGATTTATAGTGATAAATATGGCAACAAAGATGAGGACAATAGTCCGAATAATGTAAATAGTGTACATAATACCTCATCTCAGAAATATAGACAGATACTGAAGGGCCGAAACGTTGTGATAAATATGGCGACAAAAGATGAGGACAATCTCAGAAGTATAGACAGAATAATGTAAATAGTCTACATAATACCTCATCTCAGAAATATAGACAGATACTGAAGGGCCGAAACGTTGTAATAAATATGGCAACAAAGATGAGGACAATAGTCCGAATAATGTAAATAGTCTACATAATACCTCATCTCAGAAATATAGACAGATACTGAAGGGCCGAAGCGTTGTGATAAATATGGCGACAAAGATGAGGACAATAGTCCGAATAATGTAAATAGTCTACATAATACCTCATCTCAGAAATATAGACAGATACTGAAGGGCCGAAACGTTGTAATAAATATGGCGACAAAGATGAAGACAATAGTCTGAATAATGTAAATAGTGTAGATAATACCTCATCTCAGAAATATAGACAGATACTGAAGAGCCGAAACATAGTGATAAATATGGCAACAAAGATGAAGACAATAGTCCGAATAATGTAAATAGTGTACATAATACCTCATCTCATAAATATAGACAGATACTGAAGGGCCGAAACGTTGTGATAAATATGGCAACAAAGAACAGGACATTAGTTTGAATACTGTAAATAGTGTGCATAATACCTCATCGCAGAAATATAGACTGATAGTAAAGGGCCGAAAGGTTGTGATAAATATGGCGTCAAAGATGAGGACAATAGTCCGAACAATGTAAATAGTGTACATAATACCTCATCTCAAAAATATAGACAGATACTGAAGGGCCGAAACGTAATAAATAACCTCATCTAAGAAATATAGACAGATACATGTGTGTTCTGGTTCGACTCTTTATATATGCTTGTCAGTGATGCATTATGCATGGTGAGGTCGACTGTATTATCCTGACGATTTTGGGATGCGTGGTAATGGTTATGCTTCAAACTATTCTCGAGGCTGTTCTGTAAAAATAATTGGGAATCCGAAAACGGTTATTTATTAACGTCTTACTCAGTATTCATCATTCATTGTGTCTTAATTTGTTTATCACTTACGTAACTTGT